TTTCTTGAGGCCGAAAAAAGGAAGCCTGTCTTATGCCAATTTGCCATTTCTAGCAATATTAGAGGAGCTAGAGTGTAATAGTAGAGTGTAACTGCCTCTAAAAACATCTGGTCCACTACAGATTACAAGTCCGAAAGTAAACCTTTGCAGTGAAAGGAAATCAGTCTTTACAGGTTTATTTGGACTTCGATTCCTTAGGATACACCTATCATAGACACCCACGGTATTCAGGGGAAGACATGCCAATAAGCACTGTTAATAACAATAATAATGCGAAACTTGTTAATAATTCTTAATACTGGTACATCCATTCCCATATACACACACAAAAGGATTTCCGTCCTGTTGATACACCTGGAATTAATAAGAAAGCTGAAATCGGGCTTCCTTTGCAGTCAATGGCCGAGGTCCTCAAATAAATATGGATATCATTTTATACGTTATGCCTCGTGTCTTAGAAGGGAAAGTGCGTGTGGTGTTGCATGGGCGTGTGAAGAGGTAAAGAAAAAAACAAAAAATAGATTTCCTTTTCTTTAAGACAGCATGATCAAACTGCTTTCTGCGATATACATACATAGTTTCAAATCTCACGGTCACATAAGGAGGATATTTGGAATTTTTTTACCAATGGATTGGTAATACTGATAATAATGATGATAACAGTAAATAATGGTTGTGAAAATAATAAAACTATTAATGACAACAAATAGTAATGATAATGATCATGTTAATTCAATAATAATAATAATAATAACAAATACAATATCAATCAAATGAGCAAAAATAATCAAAGCAATTAAAACAATACAACCAACAATACAGAGAGAGTAAGGGCCGTTCCCCCCGCCCCGCCCCTCCCCCTCCCGTCCCCTGCCCCCTTACGCCCGACGCCCATCAATCCTTCATCCTTTCCTCTCACGCGAAAGTTCCCGGGAAGTGCAATGCCAATCGGGACTCGCAGGATTTATGACTCGGTCGCCGGCCCAAGACTCTGTGTGAATTACTGCGGTTTGGACGCGAGTTCAGGCGCGTAACGTGTCGGCTTTTTGGAACCAAGGGAAAATAAAGAAGATGGCAAGAGGTGATGATGATGATGACTGATGATAACACTAATGACAATAATAACAATTATGATCATAATAATAATGGTAGTTGACGATGATGATAGTAAAGGTATAATAAATGATTATTATCATTATTATCATTATCCTTATCATAATTATCATCCTGATTAATATTATCATTACAATCATTATCATAATCATCCTCCTTAGCACTAATATTAGCCTTATTATTATTACAATACTACTCACAGTATTAAAACTATTACTACTATGAGTAACAGTAATAAAACTAAAAGTACTATTATTAGTAATAGCAGTAGTAGTTATAGCAGTAGTAGTAGTAGCAGGAATACTACTAGTAGTAGTTGTGGTAGTACCAAATAACGAGAACAGTAACAAAGATGATAATAATGATACATGATAATAAGAACAACTGATAATGATATTAATAACGATAATGACAACAGTAATAATAGTAATAATAAAAACGATAATGAATAAATACTTTTTTGAAAAATTATTAAAGTATTAGTAATAAAAATCACAATCATAGTAATAATAATGATAATAATAATAATAATGGAAAAAATAACAATGATGATATTGATAATCATAATAAAAATTACAATAATAATAATAATATTGACATTAATAATATAATAACGATAATAATAATAATAATAATAATAATGATGAAGATGAAGAATAGGAGGACGAGGACAAAAATGGGAGGAGGAGGAGGAGGAGGAGGAGGAGGAGGAGGAGGAGAGGAGGAGGAGGAGGAGGAGGAGGAGGAGAGGAGGAGGAGGAGGAGGAGGGGGGCAAAGGGGAGAGGAGGGGAGAGGGGGAAGGAGGGGGAGGGAGGAGGAGGAGGAGGAGGAGGACGACGACGACGACGAGCAAGTTGATGGTGAGGATGATAACCATAATAATAATAACAATAATACAACTAATAATAATAATGAAGAGGAGGAGGAAGAAGAAGAAGAAGAAAAGAAAATGAAGAAGAAAGGAGAGAGTGAGAGGGGATGCGGAGGAGGAGGAAGGAGGAGGAGAGAGACGAAGAAGAAGAAGAAGAAGAAGAAGAAGAAGAGGGGGGAGAGGGAGAGGGGAGAGGGATGGGAAGGGTTGGAGTGGGAGTGGGGGAGTGGGAGGGGGAGGAGGGGAGGAGGGAAGGAGGGGAGGAGGAGAGGAGGAGGAGGAGGAGGAGGAGGAGGAGGAGGAGGAGAGGAGAGGAGGAGGAGGAGGAGGGGAGGGAGGAGGAGGGGGAAGTGGGGGAGAGGGGGAAGAGGGGGGGGGGGAGGAGGAGGAGGAGGAGGAGGAGGAGCAAGTCAACGACGACTGCGAGGAAGAAGAGGAGGAGGAGGAGAGGAAGAAGTAAAGGAAGAATCAAAAGAACAATGAATGAAACAAAAATGAAGAGAAGTTAGGCCGAAGCGAAGGAAGAGGAGGTGCAAAGAAAAAAACAAACAGAGCGGGAAGAAAATAATAAAACCGTAACAATAAAAAACATTCCATTTAAAATGAGGCAAGGCCCCTCGACCAGTTCCGTCCACCTGAGCCTCCCAAATCATCCTTTGTGAAGGCAAAAGCAAAAATATAGAACAGCTTTTGGGGAAATCAAGTGAAAAAATAGATATAAATGTGTGCCTATACAATATAATCAAAAGATGCTCAAAATCTGTAACATCTGATATCCCTTTCCCAACCAATAAATTTTAATGAAATATATAAATTCACCTACAGTATAGTAGGAATAGATACAAAGGAAATCGCTGTGCTTCTCGGCTAACTTAGATAGCGACAATGGCATCGTTCCAAAATTTCTGGATCTTTAGAAAGTTCAAATAAGTCACCCATTTGACAATTCATTTCTTTCAAAGATAATAATACGAGCAGAAAATCCCAACACAAAGAACTACGTTCCTTCAAAAATAATAAATGATGAAATAGTAAGGGAAAACTCTCTCAATCATTCGGTGAAAACAAATGGTGACAAAGATAAATAAAAAAAATATTACTGTTCCTGAAATGACGGTTTCATATGACATCGCAGTATTCATCCTGCTTCTTGGTTGCCTCTAACTGTTGGCCTCTGGAGGGGATTCAGTGAGAATAACCTCCGGGTATAACGTATGGGGCACTTCCTGGTCGAACGCCCCTCGTGTCAGCTGATCGGGGATCCTGCTTGCCTTCTGGCGCTCGCAAGAGGCGTCGTTATGGGTTTCCTTTCCCTCTGCCTGGCCCCTGTAGGCGTGCGAATGAGGCCAGGAGCACGCACCATCTGCGGCCACGAAGGGGGTACGTGTGCACTGAGTTACTGGCAAGTACAGCATTCCCCCACAATCCGTAGCGTCCTGGTAGGCCTCGCACATTTCTACATCACAATGAAAGGCCTTTGCAACCTCGTTGAGCACATGGGAGATCCTCTGTGCCTCCTCATGGGCTTGTGGCAGCATGATGTGGAGGGTCATCCTCCTATAGAGAGGCCTAACCATGAGCTGCCTTCTGTGCTGCTGTCGCCTGCGCGGCAGTCGCAAGGAGGAGGGCTGCCTTGGGGTTTGGTCCAGTGTTGAGCAGAGGGCCTCGTTCGGCTGCGTGACTTGGCTGCCCGACCCGTTCTTACGTACACGCTTCACTGTGTTGTCACCCTGCAACTGCTGCAGCAATTGTGACAACTCCGGCTCGCTCGGTGATGAATTGCCAGCCACAGTGTCGCCGGGAAGTGGCAAGGACCGCGACTTCCACCGGAGGCTCGAAGCCATAGGAGAAGCCTCGACGAGAGGTGCTGAGTTATACCCCCTTGTGGCCATGGCCACCGAGGGAGCACTTGCGCTGCCATGCTTCCTTCCACGGCCTCTCCTTCCTGGAAAACGAGCCCTTGGTCCTCTCTGGCTCGTACTCTGTGATGGGGCAGGACTCGCAGGAGATGTTGTCTGCCTGTCTGCCTCTGCTGCCTTTTGCCTCAGGCTCATGTGTTCCCCCGCCTTCTGCTCCTGAGCATGCTCGGGGCCTGCTTTGGATCTTGCTGGCGGAGACCCTTCAGGCCGAATGGCCTTTGGCTGGCCCCGTTTGGCGTCGGCAGCACAGCCTCCTGCTCGCACCCCCTGGACGGGCGCGGTAGGAACCGTGAAGATGGACACCGAGTTCCGCTGCTTCAGAACCTCCACGGCGGTCCGGAAAGACCTCAGACTGTCGGGGTTGGCGTGGCGATCCCTCTCGGTCTTGACGCTCGCTTCCATGCCTCCCGAACGATGGCAAGAACCTGAAAAAACAGATATGCTTTCAATGGGTCAAAATGTTTGTCTCTATATTTCTATACAAGAATTTAACCAAATTTAAAGCTATAATTCAAATTTATTACACTTACACACACACACACACAACACACACACATATATATATATATATATATATATATAATATATATATATATATATATATATTGTGTGTGTGTGTGTCTGCGTGTGTGTAAAAACGTTAATTTTACCGAACACAAACACACACACAAACTCACTCACTCATTCACACACACACTCTCTCTCTCCTCTCTCTCCTCCCTCCCACACACAAGCTCTCTCTCACTCTCTCTCCCTCTTTCCCTCTACACCAGGGCACCCTGCAACCACGGGAGCTGTAGACGCAAGTGTAAGATCGCCTAGGGTGTGTGCTTCGGCTGTCTAGGAAATACCCTCGTGACGCCCTTGAGTCTAAATGGCTCAGACAGTAGTCCTACGGAGGCTAAGGATAGAGGGACCGCCAGGCGAACTGTGCCGTCCTGCAGCGAAGACCAAGGATGCCGATCATCATTTGCTTAAATCCACAGCAAGACCGGAAAAGACCTCGGCAGACCAAAGCGACTCACGAAATGGCCGCAGTATCACGCAGAACGATGCTGATGCTGAATCCATAACCGACAGGCAGAAGAGCCGAGACGATGGAGAAAAAGTGGATAAGTACTGAAAAAATGCGGCAAGGCGAGGCTGGCGAGGCCAATGCCCGATGCCGGAGCGCGCGCGCCCGGCCGACGAAGGCGGAGGGAGGCCACGGCGAAGAGAGGGAGACAGATTTTCTGAAGGCACTGATGTGGCTTCCAAATAATGATGGCTTCCTCATGCTACGAAGCAGCACCAAAGCATCAAAACAATAAATAAATTTATAGATAATTGAGTAAATAATAACAATAAATAAATAAAACAAAATATAAAGAAAACGTCTGCACAGAAATGCAGGAACAGATCTTGATGTCGTTGAATATGCATCAGGAAACATCTTACTCGCGAGTGTAGTGATAAGATCAGCAAAGGGAATGACGTCAGAGTGTATTACCCGTATTGCAAAGGGCGTAAGGGCAGAGACTGCCAAAGTCGCCTTCTCCTCCCGGCAGAGCGGAGGCAGCGACGCCGCACCTGACCCCGCCTCGCGCACCTCAAGGGGTTCAGAGCAGAAGGGACTTGAGGTCAGCAACGCACGGCAGAGCCCACGACTGCGAGGCGACGAGTTACGCACGCCATAATGAGGAATTTCTAACAGCAAGCACATTCATTCCGAACTTTCTAACAGCAACCACATTCATCCCTAACTTTCTAACAGCAAGCACATTCATTCCTAACTCTCTAACAGCAAGCACATTCATTCCTAACTTTCTAACAGCAAGCACATTCATTCCTAACTTACTATCAGTAAGGACATTCATTCCTAACTTTCTAACAGCAAGCAAATCCATTCCTAACTTACTATCAGTAAGGACATTCATTCCTAACTTTCTAACAGCAAGCAAATCCATTCCTAACTTACTATCAGTAAGGATCAGTAAGGACATTCCTAACTTACTATCAGTAAGGACATTCACTCCTAACTTTCTGACAGCAAGCACATTCATTCCTAACTTTCTAACAGCAACCACATTCATTCCTAACTTTCTAACAGCAAGCACATTCATTCCTAACTTTCTAACAGCAACCACATTCATTCCTAACTTTCGAACAGCAAGCACATTCATTCCTAACTTACTATCAGTAAGGACATTCATTCCTAACTTTCTAACAGCAAGCAAATCCATTCCTAACTTACTAACAGTAAGGACATTCATTCCTAACTTTCTAATAGTAAGCAAATTCACTCATGGCTTTCTAACAGCAATCACATCCATTCATTACTTTCTAACAGCAAGAACATTCCTTTGTAACTTTCTAACAAGCACATTCATTCATTCATGACTTTCTAATAACTATTACATTCATTCCTAACTTTCTAACAGCAAGCACATTCATTCATTCCTTTTTAACAGCAAGCACATTCATTCCTAACTTTCTAACGACAAGCACATTGAGAAAGCACATCGATTCGTTTCTCTAACAATTACGCACATTGTCGACGTTCTGACATACAAACAGCATGAGATTCTAGTATATGTACTCCTGGCTTTTCTTTTTCAAGAGCAAGCACTCTGCAAGCTAACATTCTTAACATTCCTTTATACACATTAAAGGCCTTTTAACATGCAAATGCAATGTGCAAATATTCTGCATTTCTAACTATCCCGGTTAACATGTTGACATGTGAAAATGACTTTCTTCGAGCATTCAAATTCCTGGTTAACACGTAAACATTCCTATTTTTCTAACGCCAAGCACACTGACAGCTTTCTAATAGTTTCCTGGCTCCCTAACAGCTTCCAAATTATCGGCTTTCTAACATACAAACGCAGTAAATGCAAACATTTCTGAATCTCAAACAGTATGTACATCGTAAGACTCGCGAACATAGGCCTACAATCACACAACCATGCCTCTGACACCAACTACATTAAATGCTTTCTGACTCACAGACCTAACTTTCCAACACTATTTACAATACCGACTTCCTGACACAAAGACATTCCGGATCTTTAAGCAGCAGCAGGCACTGACTCTCTTCTAAAACAACAGGTTAAATATGTCCGACTTTCAGAAGGTATTTTTCGCATACTTGTCTATTTTCACATTTACAAGCATTAATATGACTATAATATTCATCTTTTAATCAGAACTAATTACTTTTTACCCACAATCTTTAAATTTCCTCGATTTTCCACTCTGGCGTTAACCAATTTCATGTCACCTTTTGAGGAATTCCTTCAATGGTAAAAAAAAATGAACACCCATTTACCTTCAAGTTTCAAACATGTAAAATCCAAAAGGAAGGCCGCTTGAACGTCACATAAACGTTCTTTGATTCTCATGCCGTTCAATTCTCTCTCTCTTTATCTCCACATCTTCCTTGCTTACCTTCTGCGAAAAGGGTGGATAAAGAGGAAAAGAAGAAACTCAGTCGTGCGTCTTATCTTCCCGAAGCCTGGCCATTACCTGAAGTCTTTCTGCTCTCTGGTTGGTTGGATTGATTCTGGCCTGTGATTGGCTGGTTGATAAGATACACGCTTTTGGATTGGTCGGATCTTATCTGGATCGTGATTGGTGGATTGCTTAAAAGACGCATTAAAATTAGGAAGATCTTATCTGGATGGTGATTGGTTGACCGCTTAAAAGACGCTCTCGGATTGGTTCTTTATTTTTCAGAGCTTAGAATCGAATGCTGATTGGCTGAAGGCTGTTGGGCTGCTTTGGAAATGACTGAAGTAGATGCGAATCTTTTTGTCCTTTTCATAATTGCTCGACGTCGTTCTTAAATATGTTGAATACATTTAGATATTCCATGATAATCATACCATAGTTCAAAGTATACAATGGAATCGGTAGATTGGAGAGCTCCTGGGCATTTTCTTTTAGGGCATTTCCGAAGCAAATTGAAAATGAAAAATAGTTGATATATAATGACCAAATTTAGCAAATCCTGAGACGTCTTACATATCAGTAAACCTAATAAATGTCTGATCTCATGTGAGCCGAGGAGATGTATCGAGACCTCGATTTCAAGTAATTTTCAGTTCATTTCGAATTCGCTTTCATACCATTGTAAAAAATATATTATTAAGTAATTGATGTTCGTGTAATTAATTCTGTTGATGACATTTTCCTAGTTTGGCAAAAGGTGAAACTTCATAGAAATGTTTTACATACGCATTATTGTTGTTATTGTTATTGGTATCATTGTTATGATTATCGTAATTATTCTTAATCAAATTATTATCGAGGTTATCTTTAAAACTCTTTGATTTCATAAATATCATGTCAAGTGGTCTTTGGTTGAGAGGGTAACGACCATAAAAATTTTCCTCCGATATCATTTTCGTGGCGGCTGAATGTATAGGTTAAATCTAGCCTGCCTGTACGCGATTATTTTTCCCTAGTGTGCTAGATAAAAACTGGACGAATGAATAGAAATAGACAAAAAAGCATAGATAAATAATTGGCGGGAATGAAAAGCAAAGACGCGACAGACTCGTTTCCGAAAATGATAATTGTATTAATAAATTTATCCCTGCCAAACGCGCAAAACGAATCAAACTATAAAGATATGATAAATAAAAACATTCCTGGTAGTTTTAATTGTATAAAATTATCATAGATGGCATAATAATACACACACAAAAGTAAAAAGTAAAAGAACCAGGCAACTCTTCCTCATAAATAGCGGGTAAATTCGAAATTAACGACCAGTTGCCGCGATCACGCCGGAGGAAAGACTTGTGCCGTGAAGATGTCTTCAACTAGGTTAGTTTTTTTTCCTTCTATTTACAGTGTTTTTTAGTAAACGCATTTAAATATAGAACCTTTACATTAGCCCATGGTATAGGGATGTAATTTGTAGGTTTATTGGTGTTTTTTTCATTTTTTTCGGGGAAGAAATGGTGGGCGTGTCTATTTTAGGTTAAACTTCTTGCGATTTCTAGAAAATTTCTCCCTCTTTCATTCATTCCTCTCTCTCTCTCTCTCTCTCTCTCTCTCTCTCTCTCTCTCTCTCTCTCTCTCTCTCTTCTCTCTCTCTTCTCTCTCTCTCTCTCTCTCTCTCTCATCTCTCACTCTCTCACTCTCTCACTCTCTCTTCTCTTCTCTTCTCTCACTTCTCTCTCTTTATTCTCACTTCTTTCTCCTCTCTCTCTCTTTCTTTCCGTCTTTATCTCTCTTCTCTTCTATTTCCCTCTCATTCTCTATCTATCTATTTATCTATCTATCTTTGACATTAAGATGTTATGTGTAGACTTATTAGTCTTATATTCCAGGAATGCGTCTGCATTTTAGGTTAAACTTACAGCGATTTCTCTCTACCTCTCCTTCCCCATTCTCTCCCTCCTTCCCTCCTTCTCCACCTCCCCACTCTCTCTCTCTACCTCTACCTCTACCTCTACCTTTACTCTACCTCTCTCTCTACCTCTACCTTTAACTCTCCTTTTCTCTCTCTCTCTCTCTCTCTCTCTCTCTCTCTCTCTCTCTCTCTCTCTCTCTCTCTCTCTCTCTCTCTCTCTCTCTCTCTCTCTCTCTCTCTCTCTCTACCTCTACCTCTACCTCTACCTCTCGCCCTCTCTCCTTCTCTCTCTCTCTCTCTCTCTCTCTCCTCTCTCTCTCCTCTCCGCTAATCTCTCTACTCTCTCTCTCTCTCTCTCTCTCTCTTCTCTCTCTCTCTCTCTCTCTCTCTCTCTCTCTCTCTCTCTCTCTCTCTCTCTCTACTTCTCTCTCTCTCTCTCTCTCCCTCTCGGCAAATTTAATCTACCTCTCCTTCTCTCCTCCCCCTCTTCTCCCTCTCCTCTCTCTCTCTCTCTCCTCTCTCTCTCTCTCTCTCTCTCTCTCCTCTCCTCTCTCTAAACAACTCTTGGTCAATCTCGCTCTACTTTACTAGTTGATCATGTCGTTAACATGATAATCAATACAGATATACAACGATGTAACGAAAGTATTCGTTACATAACTGACCAGACTAGTGAATGGAGATGCACCCCCCTCCCCCCCCTCCCCCGCATCCTCCGGTCTCGCCCCCATTAAGAAAAATGGAATATCTTGATCCGCATTACTTGCGAAACTTTTTAACAGCACGTACATGAGCTCCTGACTCTCCAGCGGGCAATTTGATTGATTCTAGACATTTTAACAAGCACGTTGGTGCGTGACTTTCTAACTGAATACGAAATGATCATGATATAGGAAAAGATAGATCATTTATGATATGGGAAAATTTGTTCTTGCAATTTGCCTTGAACAAATATTCTTGATTTTCTTTTTTCTGCTGTTTACTTTTTACAGGAAAGTGATACTGAATAAATGATGGTAAGAAAGATTTTAAGAATAAAAAGAAAATCATTTCCTTTTCTGGTGCCTAATTCTTTTTTCCTTCATTTCCAGAAGGCATGAAGCGAATAATCATAACAACAGGTAAATCTTCCCTCAAGGACAGCAGCAACGAAAGAGGAAATAAGAAGAATCAGAAGAAAAGGCAAGAGAGAACAAAAGATGTAAGATGTTATTTGTCTTTCCTTTTTATTTGTTTTCGTTTTATGATTGATCTTTTTTGTCGTATTACCAGTATGTTTTAAGAACATTTTTTTTTTAATAAAGTGATGGCAACTATTTTAGAAGTCCCTCAGATAATCAAATATGAACAAGGATATCGACAATTGAAATATAACAATGATATTAATTTGAGGTTAATGTCAGGTAGAATGTTCTTTTAACAAACAAGAAAAGATGATGATAATGATCGAAGGTTATGTATCATGATAAAGATAAGTAATTATTCTCGTGATGTTGATAATTGAAATCATAATGATATTGATGAACACTGATAGCTCACTTTTCTTCTGACGCCGCGGTCTGCCCCTTCCTGAAGACCCTGTCGCACCTGAGGGCCACGCTGGACAAGTTGGGGTCAGAGGTCAAGGCCGGGTCGCGGCTGCAGGTCATTGAGGAGACGATGAGCCTGACCCGAGACCTGGAGGACAAGGCGTCCATGCTGCTGGCCGGGATTCGTGAGTTGGCCAGCCTGCTCTCGCCAAAGCTTTTTTCTTTTCATTTTTTTTTTCTTTTCTTTTTCTTTCTTTGTTTTGTTTTTTTTTTCTTCTTTTTTTTTTCTTCTTTTTTCATACATTTGTGGGGGGTTTGGCATCCTTTTATTAGGTATATTGACTTTCCCTTGCCGTTGTAATGTATTTTTGTGTGATTGGCTTTCCTTTCTGTTATTCACTTCTTTATTCTCCTGGGGGGGGGGGTACTTCCCATCAAACTTTGATCGGTATTATGTGAAAAATAGGGATCGTGTTTGGATCTATCTGTATCATTTCCATTTGGTAGTTTTGTTAATACATTATGTACTAGATGAAAAGTATATGTTACGTGAGAAAACCGTTGTGTAGAAGAGTGTATGCATATGTGAATGCCTGTGTGCGTGCGGGCATGTGTCTGCGTTTGTGTGTGTGTGTGCGTGCACACTTTGATGTCCCCGGCGTGGTCTCCCGCAGGCACGGAGCGCGGGTCGTCCATCAGCAACGCGTCCCTGTACACCCTGAGTTCCGCGAAGGCCGTGTTCAGCCGCCACCTCTGGGAGGCGCAGAACAAGGCCCGGAGGAAGGGGTGAGTTGCCTTCATTGTTATGACCTGCTTCAACTCTTTATTCCCCGAACTTCCTTTTCACAGTTCAAGTTTTGTTGCTGGCTAGTTTTTATTTACCAGGGGAAAGGCTAGGTATTTTGTTTTCCTCTTCGCATGAAAACATATCCTTAGACTCGGCAAAAAAAAAAAAAAAAAAAAAAAAAAAATCTATCTGCATTGTATTAGTTCTGTTCGGAGGTCTTCTCCAAAATCATAAGCTACATTCTAGTGATAGTGAGTGTAATCACATGGAAAAGATCTAAAATTTATCCATTTTGAAGGCAAAATCAACTGATTCATATGTAATAGGTGTGGCACATTTATTGCCCTGCAAAATCAGCTGATTTCTCTTCATTCTCAATACAGACAGACGGACGAGAACTTGGACGATCTTTTGGAGAAAAACATGGAAGACTCCACCAGAAAGTTCTTCTCTGACCTCGTAGCGGAGTCGTCAGCTGATCCGCCCGCAGGAGACTCTCAGGAGGAGGAAGGTGCGGAGGCGGGAGGGAGGGACTCGTTGGCGTTGGGCGGTTTGCACTTGTCTCTGGGGAGGGCTTTGCGCTTTACCTCGGGGTTGGGCGTGGCTGCCGCACTGGCATTTTGTGGGTGCTTGCGCCCTGGATCCCTGTGTCCTCTTCATGTCGCGATGTTTTTCTTGCTAATCTCTCTCTATCTTTCTTCTTTTCTGCCTCTCTCACTCTCTTTCTCCCTCTCTCACTCTCTCTCCTCTCTCTCTCCTCCTCTCACTCTCTCTCACTCTCACTCTCACTCTCACTCACTCTCTCCTCTCTCCTCTCTCTCTCTCTCTCTCTTCTCTCTCTCTCTCTCTCTCTCTCTCTCTCTCTCTCTCTCTCTCTCACTCTCACTCTCTCTCACTCTCTCTCTCTCTCTCTCTCTCTCTCTCTCTCTCTCTCTCTCTCTCTCTCTCTCTCTCTCTCTCTCTCTCCCTCCTCCCTCTCTCTCTCCCTCGCCTCTTTGCCCTCTCTCTCTCTCTCGCCTCTCGCTCTCTCTCGCCTCTTTTTTGCCCCTCTCATCTTTCTTTCGCTCAGGCGTATTTTTTCTTTGTCTTCCACTTTCCGTCTCCCTCCCTCTCACCTCGCTTAATTATCACCTCTTGTTCTCCTTTACAGTATCCCTTATTCCTCTTATACCCCTCCCCCCTTACTCCCTCTCTCCTTCTCTCCCTCCTCTTTCTCCTTTCTGATGAATGTAACGCAAGATTTCCTTCCAGACTGGCGTCCTGAGAAGGCGCTGCTGGCGTCTCCTTCGCCGTCGACAACGCGAGCTGCAGGCGACGGCGCTGCGCTCGCCACCCCGCGGGCCTCCTGCCGCGCCAGGGAGGGCCTCGTCACGCCGCAGCAGGTTGGAGCTCTCCGCCCGGCTTGGTTGTTGTAGTTTGCATGATGACACATTTACAGACGCGCGCGCAAACATGCACGTACGCACACGCACTGAGACACACATTCACACGCACATACACATAGACACACAGATAGATCTAAATAATTTCCACGGTAACTGACAAAAGAGTTAAGATCATATCATGAACTTTATTGAAGTTTTTATGAAGCTATCTTGTTAGTCTCAGTCAGGCCCTACGGAATGAGCTGTAGAATGCCATTAAAATATACATTCCATATGAAAGGACCAAGTTTACTCCATAACGTTCTTTGGAGGACTTATCATCGAGGACAACTTGAAGACTCCTTCCATAGAGGTGGTCCTCAAACAGTGTGAGGAGCACACCAGATATCACAAAACTTGCAATAATCCGTCGGTGCCAGACTAGATCAAAGCGATGTCAAGTGAAACAACAAATATATCTTAGCGTGTACCCAGGGACCTGTTCCAGTCAGCAATTGTGGTTTTGTCTGAAGCTAAACAGGCTCATGATGATTAAGTGATGTTTATCCAGGAAACTAGTAACTTGAGAACGAATCTCAAATAGTTTCCTAAATATTAATAGCAGAGTTATTGGCCGGTAATTAGAGAGTGAAGTTTGCTTTTACTCATGCGTATATCTACTACACTTGTTTGGATGTATGAGGACATTTTCCTGTTTGAAAACAGTTCTGGAGAGAGTGGCTAGTAGACGCCCTAGTTCATCTGCACAAGTCTTCAGTGTGAGGCTTACACAGTCTGGTCCAACTGACTCCTTAGCATCAGAACCTTTTTTGTTTTTGTTTTTTTCACCTCATCAGGTTAAAACAAGTTCTCCTTGGCAGAAGAGAGGACTCCTTCAGGATCTGGAACACTCATCTTTTTGGAGGTCTTTTGCAAGCTCAGCCTTAACCTTGCTCTTGGGAACTAGAATACCATCTGCTGTTTGATGTTGCTCCACCAATGTTGGTTCCAACTACACGGCCAGTGAGTTTCATTTATTGGTCGTCTTTTCAGCGTTGGGCAGCCCACTTTTCCACTGCTTTCATACTGTGTGATGTGACACTTCAGACTGTATAGGGTGATACTTGTAATGCAGCCTTGCTCCATTTTTTCTGTTGTTAGCTTATCTGCAATTTGGTCCAAACCAAGATTGAACTTGGGGGTTGGCTTTAAATGTCATGTCTGGAATATTTCAATACAGATCAGATCAATGCAGACCAAACGAATGACTGCATTGGTTTGGCCATCTTTATTATCAGTGAATATACTATTCCAGTCAGTATTCTTCAGAGCTGCTCGAAAGAGTCCAGTTTACCTTATCCAGAGCAGGGCTGCCCGCTTTTCCGTCGCAGCATTTCTGCCGTTCTCTAAACAGCATGATAAAGAAAACGAATATAGATAATAAAATTGGAACATACACTATCATAAACAGATAAGTATTTGATTACAATTACAACGATAAGATTCCCTGCGTTAATTTCTTGTTTATTGCATGCCTAAAACAATATATAATAAATTACCAAGCCAATATTGTAACATTCATCAACATAAATTGCACTTGCATCTCTTTAAAGAATATGTCTTCGGTGTATAACAAGAAAACGCAACATTTGGCCAGTAAACATGATTTATCTAAAAAGTATACGACTATTCATAGTGAATGTGTTGTAGGGCTGAAGATTTAAAGTCACTATATGGGACTGTGGCTCTACCTTTAGTGATTCCCAGCTAGAAGATCCAGCTGAAGCGACATCGATTGAAATTTCTGCCACATCATATCAGTTAATACCAGGATGGTAGTGACACGGAAGCAGTGCAGGTGGATTTGTGTGGACGTGGTCTACCTGACGTCCAGAGGTTCAGCACTGTAGCATGTTTTTCTTTCCCTTGCCCACTCCACGCTATTGTTGCTGGCACGATCATTTGAGGCTATTGATCTTATTGGTATTGTCAAAGGGCTACGAGGCAGATGATGTTTGCAGCTTTTGTTTGCTAAATCTTCAGATGTATTGAAGAAGTTCAGGAAAGAATTTTTCTTGATTAATTCAACCCTATCATTCTCCCCTTCTCTCTTTTTTTTTTCTTTCCCTCTCTCTTTCTCCCTCTCCCTCCTTGTTATCCCTCTATTTCTCTCTCCCTCCCTCCTTGACTCTTCCCTCTCTATCTATCTCTCTATTTCTCTCTCCCTTCCCCCTTGACTTCTCCCTCTCTTTCTATCTCTTTCTTTCTCTCTTGCTACCTTGTCTTCTCTCTCTCTCTCTCTCTCTCTCTCTCTCTCTCTCTTCTCTCTCTCTCTCTCTCTCTCTTCTCTCTCTCTCTCTCTCTCTCTCTCTCTCTCTCTCTCTCTCTCTCTCTCTCTCTCTCTCTCTCTCTCTCTCTCTCTCTCTCTCTCTCTCTCTCTCTCTCTCTCTCTGTTTTTCCCTCGCTCTTTTCTCTCTCTCTCCCTCTCGTTCTCTATCTATCTTTGACATTGGGATGTGATATGTAAACTTATTACTCGTGTATTATCTCTCTCTCTCCTTCCGTGTCATCTCTTTCTCTCTCACTCCCTCCCTCCCTCCTTCCTTGTATTCTCAATCTCTTTCTCCCTCCTTCCTTCCTTGTCAGCTCTCACCCTCCATCCATCCTTGTCTTCTCTTTCTCCCTCCCTCCTTGACACCCCCCCCCTCTCTCCCCTCTCTCTCTCTCTCTCTCTCTCTCTCTCTCTCTCTCTCTCTCTCTCTCTCTCTCTCTCTCTCTCTCTCTCTCTCTCTCTCTCTCTCTCTCTCTCTCTCTCTCTCTCTCTCTCTCCACCCTTCTCCCCCCCCCCCCTTCATCCTAGAGTGTCATTTTCTAATAAATTGTTTCAACGTTACCACAGAATTAATGTAAGGTAATTCTTCATGGATGTAATGCGAATGTGAAATAACTACATTCATTTATATTTTAATGTTAAAGGTATAGTTTAAGCGTTCTTAGAGTTGTAGGTTATTTGTTTATTCCTATTTAACTCACTCTTGGTAGTATTTTATTATTGATATCATTGTTGCCATTATAATTACCATGAATATTGAATTCCTTTGATAGGAGAATGGGGAAAAACAGCACATGGTCACGCCGGGATTTGCTAGGCATAAGAGACAAAGATTTTTGTCAACACCTGTAACTACTCCAGTTTCAATGGATACTCAGACTCCTAGTGTTTCATCAGCAGATGTCAGGTGAGCAATATATTTTTTTCATCTTTATTTTATTTATTTTCATTATTTTTTTATTTATTTACGTATTTATTTTTGTCAGAAGTGTCCTACATTAGTGAACATTTAGCATTGACGGTTGCATTTATCATTTGCAGGAAGCCACGTTCGGTCGTTTGCAAAAAGAGCCTCACTTTTGCAAGCGATCCATGGCAGCCTCGCAGAGATGAAGCCGTTGGCAAAGGTTCTCCTGAGGTGGATATTCTGCCTAGTCCAGATGCGGCAGCTGTCCGTCGCCGCACCCCGAGGCAGCTCTCAAAGACAGCCTCGGCAGACCTTGGGGATTTGCTGCCACCGACCAAAAGACTCCGACTTGGGCCGGACTTTGACCCCGACATCATTCAGGAGCTCCTTCCTCTCCCGACGCACTGCTCGGCCCGACTGTCGATGACTCCACTGAGTACGCTGAAGAGTTCGTCTGCATCTCTGGACGAGGCAGCCTCAATAGATCGGAGCCAAACGTGTGCTGCGGCCACAGTGAAAGCAGAGAAGTCGCCCAGTAACAAGGCTTCTCCACAGAATCCAAAGCGTTTCCAAGACAAAGTTGACGGCAAGATTCTTGCGCCCTCATCTGACTCGGCAAGTCCTTCCTTGAAGAACAATGCCATGGATTTTCAGGCGAGGAGGAATAGTCACCAAATCAGAGAACTAGACGCTAACAAAAGCGTGAAAGGAAGTGAACGCATCTTGACTCGAGACGCGCAGGGAGTTGGATCCCATGACAGCCACATACGGATACCAAAGAACGGGACTGAAAGCGTTGATTCTAAGCAGCAATACAGTTTCTTGATCGATCAACTTGGACCCTTCAGTTGTGTAAGAAAGACTCTCAGCTTTCAAACTTATAATGTAAGTGAACCTTCAGGTGGGAGTCCACATAATGTAGGATCAGTTGTCTCTTCCATTAGTTTCCAAGATAAATTGCTCGGCATGCCAGGTGCTGGTGAAGCCCCGTTGCAGTCCGACAAGAAAGCAAATCTTTTGTCGTGCCAATTACTTATACCATTCGATAACAACAGGAAACCTTCGCCAACCAGCCGACGACCAACTACACCCTCCCCAATGCCATCATCAGGGTATCAGGATGTCCAAACAGGAACACTGCTCAATATTTTATCACCTGTTGCAAGCACATCCAAATCGCATGCTGTCACGCCAAAAGGGAAACTAATTCGGCCTTTTCCTCGAGAATCCAGGTCCCCAATCTGCCAAGCGATTACACCGAAAGGAAAACTTGCTGAAGTCTTCTCGCCAGTGCCTAACTCGCCTGGCTTTCCTGGATATGTGCCAAAGCAAAAACTGATGACTCCTGGGCTGCCAGGGCCATCGGAGTGCCGTGCTCGTACCCCGAAAGGAATACTGGCTCAGATTAAGTCTCCTGTGCCTAGTTCAAGCTATCAGAATGTCACACCAAAAAGGTTGTCGATCCCAACTTCGTCTTCTGAATCGGGATCTTTAAGAAATCCACTTGTCCGTGAACCAGAAGATGAGTCAGTCCAAGAAATGCCCCCGCTTTGTGGCTCGGATCACAAAGCTGTCACACCTGATGCTAATTTCGTCATGCTACACATACAAGCACCGCGGAAGTTGAGCATTCAGGTGTCCCGAAGACGAACTCCAACGTGCAAGCGCAGTTTGGCCAGGGAGGTTAAAACGTATTGATGTTGTGTGGTATATTTTGTCATTGTTCTGCAAAGTTTAGCATTTAAAGTCGATTTAGCCCGTCTGTCTTTAAACCCATTGTATGATTCCGAGTTTTACTATTTACAGGGAGTTTGCCGAAATGGACACGGGTAATCCTTTTATAACTCCTCCGCGATCCCCTGTGAGGTGAGTGAGACTAATATGACTGAGTATATCGCGTATTGTATATTCAAGAAATTAGTATTAACCTGGTAGTATGTGATTTGGCGGTAATTATCTAAGTCACTCAGTAAATAGAACATTAAAAAAAAGTAGTGCTGTCGAGTGAATGTTCAATAGTTTTTTTCACATGTGAACTGTTCTATTACGATCCACTTTTCATCCACAGGCCAGAGTATTACCTTCCTGAAATGGAGAGTGACAGCGATGAGTGAATCTCGAATTCTAAAAGCAGAATTTTCCTGGCTTCTGAAATAAGTTGCCAGACAGGAGGTATTCCTGAAGAAACATCCAAGATCGTTTGGTATGGCTACAATTGATACTGTACAACAGATGCTGTTTATGCCACACAAATTTACGCATTTTGGTAGAGGAGTTTCATTTTCATTTAATTCGTTTAAGTTGTAATACCTTACGGGTACTGACTTTTTATTAGCTTCATTGTTTCTGATATTATAGGTGGGTCCTTGTTTGAATCGACCAGTCTTCTCAAGCATAATTTTTCTTCCTTTGTGTGAAAATTATCTATTTGTTAGAAAGAAAGTTAAACTATTTAGGTTAGAGATTTATTTATTTTATCAATTTATTAGAACAGGAAAATATTTATATTGACGAACGCATTTTAAAAAGGTGCTTGATTTTAATAGCTTTCTACCATGTACTAGGTAGTTAAACAAAGTACAAAAATAAGGTTAAAACAAACTTAATATATTCTTTGTACTGTAGACAAGTGGACAGGCTCCAGCAATATTATTTACTTGTCACCGGTTCCTCTCTTCAGCGATTCATATTTTCTTGTAATAAAAGTATAGAAAGTGAATGCATTTCAAAGAAAAAAAGTAAATTATTATTGCTGGCTGAAAGATTTGACTGTAAAGCATGGTTTTCATGTATTAGGTATACCCCTCTTTTAGTAAGTAAAATTCACTTTCTGAATTAATGACAATTATTTATTTTGAAATCGGTATAATTAATAGAAAATAGGATTAGTTTTTAAGAATGACGATTTGGTTAATGAAATTATAGTTATCAAAGGACTTGCTATTCCAAACACCATTTTTATCAATTGTGTTCTGTAGACTTTATAGCCATAAATATTTATATACGATTTCCTATTTAGTTAGCAAAATGAGATTCTGTAAGGTTCTCAAGTTTTTACAATTTTGTTTGCTCAGATCATGAGCCCAATGTAACATGATATCATTCAATACTTTACATTTTCATCTTGACTATGAGGAAGGTTTATTAGATATTTGTCACCACTAGAGAACTTTTTCTATAGTGTAATAGATATTAAAGGAAGAACATTCACTATTTCTATTCCCTCTTCTTCAGGCTCTATGCTCGATATTGAGAAATCTGTTAATGCTTTAAAAAAATGAATCAAGTTTGAACTAAATTAGGGAAATGAAAGAGTTCTCATTTACTGTGTTTAATGTATTTTATACAATGAGTTACTATATACATCAGCCATTTTCCAAAACATTCATAAATAGTTGGGATAAAAATAAAAGTAAATTTCAAATTTTTCCTACCAGTCGGACATACATGGAAAAAAACACAGTATTCCTTACTAAAACCTTCATGGATTATGCTACAGGGTAAGTAGTGATGGTTTTACCATACCGTAGCACATTCCAATAAAGGGTAACACCACCAATAGCACATGGGCCATGGTGTGACTTTGCCGTGTTAACATTATTATAGAAATATACCACTGCCACCAAAGCCTCAGTAACATTTTGCCAGACAAATACTGATAATTCTTGCTGTGAAATTCTTAAAAGCTGGTGACAAACATTAATCTATAATTAATATAAAAATTTTCACTGAAGGCTAAGGTTGATGCAATGTGCTTGAAGTTCCGCAAAGATTTTAGAATGTTATCTTTTACGCTTGCTTGGCCTCCAACTTCAACTTGAGGGACTCTGGCATTGCTGGTGGAGGAGGACGTGGGAGGTTGAGGGTGACCTTGACAGCGTCGTAGATGAACCACTGCAGGGCCGTCAGGGTACCAATCATGATGATACGTGGGAAGAGACCCTTCCACAGTCCTGGTGATAAGAAAATATTCTTAAGTATTCAAGGTTGCTCTTGAATTAGATTATTCTCATGCACAAAACCTCATTGAACAAGCAGAAAAAATATTTACAAACCAGAAAAATATTCCATGCCCAATAACTTGTACTACAATAATAAAATTTGGTTGCAATTGCCTTACCTGCCATGCCAAGATTCTTTGCAACACCCATAGCTGTGGAGCCCTTATCCTGGTTCAGCTTGGAAACAATGGTGTCAGCAGGGTGGGAGACGATGGCACAGAACACACCAGCAATGTAACCAGCAGCAAAGGTGACAACCAACTGTTCGTTCTTGGTGCACTGGTCACGGGGCTTGGGCACCACATACATGTAGAGGGCCTCCAGGGTACGCTCAAAGCAGGCAAACTTCATCATTGTGTAAGGGATCTGTCTGCACCAGAGAGGGACAACACCCTTGTAGAAGCCCCACAGGCCTTCCTGTCCATAGATAATGGGAGCAGCAGCACGGAGAGTTGAGGCAAAGCCAGGCTGGGTCTGGATACGCACCTGAAATTTTTTATTACACTGTTATCTATCTCATTTACAAAATTAATATATCAGCTGTCACACTAAATACATAATTTTTTTTTTTTTTTTTTTTTTTTTAACTACATTTAGAAATGCTTCTTGAACAAGGAAGTTTTTCACACAGTAGCCAGTTCTTAAAATATCATGGGAAACCTATCTTAGAAATCTTAAGACTATACCATCCTGAATCATATACCATACCTTGCAGGCCTCCATGGGTGAGAGGGCAATATCAGCAAAGAACTCAGCTGAGGCAGATGCAGCAAGGTAGAGGGATGTGCGGTAGAGGTAGGAATTCTCCTCACCAATCATGTTGCCATACAAAATCTTGAACAATTCATAGAAACCGAACTTGCAGATACCCTGCATCGAGTATCCAATGGCTGTGGGTGCCCATCCCTTGGCCAAACCTCGAACTCCATCTTCCCTGACTGATACCTGTAAACAAAACAAAATTATAGAAGACCTGAAGCTACACTTTCATAAAGAACCATGAAGGAATTGAGGTTTTAATATTCTGTATATCAAAATTATCAGCCTTTTTTAACCAGGAATATGCTGTTAAGAAAATATTTGGTTGAGGGCCAGGGTGACGAACTTGCTATCGTGGAAAATGCAGCTGAAGGCTGGGTTGACGAGAATGACATGCCACAAGTGTACAAACCTCTTGGAGAAAGTTTAGACTTGGAGTGAAAATTTAGGAAAGGGCTCTAGCATTATTTTCATCAACAAGAGAGGGTGGAATATATCACCCCTGAGCCATAACTGAAGAAGGCCAACTATTTCCATGCTCAGGATTCCTATCCCTGTCCACTGTTCATGCAGTGTAAGGGGGGGGGGGGGGCAGGCCTACTAGCCCCACACCCAGGTGTCTCACCAATCAAGCCCAATGCCTAGATTTTTAGCTATAAACAATGACAAGGCATCCAGATCCAACAAACAACAAAAATCTACAGCAAGGAGGCTACATTTACCTTGAAGCCATTGAAGATTCCCTTGTATTTGGCAGGATCTACCTGGATCCTGCACTTCACCAAATCCAGGGGGACAACAGCTGTATGTGTGATACCACAGCTGAGCAGGCCACCAAAGCCACAGAGGGCATAGTATTTGTTTGACCCATACTCACAGCTGTACTCTGCCAATGAGGGTAAAGACAAATTGATAAAATGTTAAAAACAAATGGTATAAACGTAGGTTTTATATACCAAAAATATTATTTCTAATAACATTCACTTTATTCTAAACCAGCTATTTTGATATCTAAACCATGATGAACCAGGTGTTTGCCTTTACATATCCAATGGTACACATCGAAGAACCTATTGCAGAATAAAGTCACACCAGTTAGGTAATTAATCAGCCTGCTCTTGCTTACTTTCCATTCTCCACAAAGCAATGATTGGTATTAAGTTTCACATGCTATTGACTTATCACTCATTCCTACAGCTAAAAAGATTGTACAAGATCTGTAAATAATACACTCGTATATAATGCTAAGGTCCCAATTATTTTATTCCTTGGTTTATGGATTTTATTTCTGAAAACCTCTGACAGGCAGTCACAAGATAAAAATAATTGGGTGTTTTGGCCGTTTTTAAAAGAGTTTATCAATTTCTGGAAGCGTGATGGGCAGTACCAAAAAAAATGAAATACAAAACATCACATCTGGAATCAGTATTGCTCCTGTACCCACAGACAGGAATGATCTCCAGTGACATTGTGCTTGAGACAAATGGCAAATACCATCAATCGTGGAGTTTTTTATAGGTAGAACTGACTAGAAAAACAGAACTGAATGATATTGTATCGAATCAGGTGCAGCAGGAAAAAAGGTAAATTTCTCAATTGTTTTTATTTTTGAAAATTCATACTAACATTAACTTCTAAAATTATATAAACTAATAAAATCATTTGATCTTACCAGCATCAGCAGCAGCAATGTTTCTCCCAGCTACAAGCTGCTTGTTGGGGGCATCACACTGAGCTTCAAGTGGCCGACTGAACGGCGAGTTCTTTGCTGTTTCCCAGAGGCTGCTGAACATTTTGATTCTGAAACAAACGGAAATTGAGAAATACATTCTATCTAAAAGTACAAAATACATGTGATCTCTTGGTAACTATTCAATGATGATCTCTAACAAAAATCTCTTAAGAGAATTTATTGTTCTTCAAAGCCAACAGAATCAATCTGTTCTACTATTCTCATTTTAAAATTCTGTGAAACCAAGTAACAGTAAAGTAGAATCAATGGTTAAAGCTAAAAATTGGAAAAAGTTTACAATATGTCAATGATCAAGGAATACAAAAGAAAAAAAATATATATATATGTGGAATAAAATATCCAATTCTATGATTGGATCCAAAAATGCACCATTTCAAAGTTAATTTGGCTACTATATTGTTTGTCAGGCACTCCTTTGCTTCACCAAATCAAAACACCAAAACATTGTACAAAATTCCAGATATCCATATAATTTTACTAATTATAACATTATTATTATATAATTATATATAATTATAATTATAAACTTAACCATAAAGAAAATACGTCAACAAATTCTAACTTTTCTTGCCTAGGAATACATTAAAATGTTCCTGCTACTGCTGTTTACCCACCAATAGATGGTATTCCAACAGCCTAATTCAGTTCATCCAGTACATGGGGAAAAGGTAAAGGTAGAGTGATGACCCACTTACAGCTTGCACAGCCTAATGGACTTTCAACTTTTATTGACCATGCCTGACAGCCTAATTTTATGAATTGTGGTATTGGATCAACCACCTCTCATTTATAAAAACCTCAAGGGATATTTGGTCACCCTTTCATCAACAAACCTCTTACTGGACGTATGTCAAAAGTTTTATCAAGTGAATGATAGAAAGTAACCTCTACATCAGGGGTTCCCAACCTATGGGAATGTAGCATATTTTCTGGGGGCCCATGGAGCAATGTGAAAATATGACATTAAATTAGATTTTTATATCATTTACGGTACATAAAATTCTCTAACATATCAATAAATGAATCGGCCCAAAAGGTGTTTTTGCTCTACACTAAACAGGACCATGGAGAATACTACATATTGGTTAGAGGCCACAGAATAAAAAAGGTTGGGAACCACTGTTTTTTACACAACCAGATTCCATTGATATCAGCCAACACAAAGGAAAAAGTTTGACTCTGGATTGTATGCACCTTCAGCAAATCACACATGCTCAGAATAGCAAGCCTGTGTCATATCCACAGCCTATTGCAGAATTTAATCAATATGAATTAACCAAAATGTCCACATCAGGCCATCAAGGCTAATAGTGACCTATCCCATGGCACTCATAAGAGCCAAGAATCCTTCACACTTCCTAGCAAGAGCCTAAAGGCCTGAATTTATTATCAGTTAAGAGGACTGCTTGGGAGTCATCCTGAAGCAAAGGTACATATCATTTGAAAAAAAGAAAAGTACATAAAGAGCAAATCCTAATTACAATCTTACATATAAATGAATTCAGATGGGGGGGGGGGGTTAGGTTACCTCTTCATATGTGCAACCATTTGCACAAGCTAATCAAATCTTGAATTTCCTTTTCCCTTTTCGTAATTTACTTTCTTGCAGTGCCTGTCCAAAGCATTTCGAGGAACTCAAATATATTTCCCAAAATCATAATTTTTTGTTTAATCCAAACAAGCCATGTGCCCCCAAGTGCTATATCGAAAATTAGGGTGAAAAGTGATTCAACATGGGAAACAAAATTAACCCTCTATATCCTCTTGACTATATAATTTTCAGATACGACTTCTCTATCTCATAACGATATTAGTGTTTCAAGTGATATTCTAGAGAATATAGTAAAAAAAAAAAAAATTCCCCTTTTGCACCAAACATTTACTGAGTGAGCTAACCTTACATGTGGAACGAAAAGAGTGATAATGAACAAGAGAACAAAATTGCCAATGCAAAACAGATCCTCACTCCTGTTGTTCCTACTGCCCCTGCACCTCAACATATGGGTCACATAATAAAATCATGGGAGATGAAACAAAGGTATTTGTTGCCGTGAGTGATACACTCTCCATAGACTAAGCCCCAAAACCAGGGTATCATGCAAACCCAAAAATCCAAACCTAACCTTTACTACTAAGCTGACAGTGTCCATTTCCCACTATCACTGTGTTTATC